TGCGTGGCTTCAAAACCGCCCCTTTACCATGCCCCATGCCTCACATATTGCATCTAAATGTTTTCTCTTTTGATGAGGCTGCAGTCTAGCTTGGCCTCCTGTCATCACTGGGCCCTTGGACCCAGTAGCGGTGCCCTCTGGTGCTGGGGTCCCTCCACCCTGTCATGGTGCCCTTTGGTGCTGGGGTCCCCCCCCTCCCCATAGCGGTGCCCTCTCTGGTGCTGGGGTCCCAGCAGCCCTGTCATTATGCCCTCACTGGCATTGGGCTCACTTCAGTCTTAATGAGTCCTCTTCCCCAAATAGCCTCATCCTGGTCCACCAAATTCAAATAACAACGCAAATACAAGCCCTTGGACTATAACATAACAACAACAACATTGGAGGTCACGCTGTCCCTTTAAGGAGTCAAGCTTCTCCCTCAACAATGTGTGCCTCCTAGCCCCAGATACTTTAGGAGCTCCTAGAGCCCATTAGTCTTATCAGAAGCAGAATAGACAACCAAGCATCTTTGAGTAGTGTTTCTGCAAGAGCTCCTTCCCCCTGCTTGCTGCCAGAGAGCTAACCTCCTGCCAGCCCCAGCCCTGAGGCTTATATATGCCCAGGGCCCTGTTTCCTTCTGGTCAGCTGACTGGGTGCAGGTGCCAGCTAATACCGATTAGCTTACTGCCAAGGCAACTTGCCTAGCTCTCAGGGCTCCCTAGCTAAGCTGCCTCTGCTCTTGAAGGAGCACACACACCTTAGTGCCCTGCAACACTCCTCAACATCCTTCCTGCCCAGAAATGATAGAAATTGGCAGCTTTCCCTACCCCTTCCATGGCTTCTCTTGCAACCATCTGCACGTATTGTGTATACATGAAGGTTTCCATGTCTGAAAAGCTTCCATTTGTCTTCACCCCCCAACACCTTCATTTCTTCTCTTACCTCCCGCAACCCATACCTCCCCAAATCCCCACAATTTCCCACATCCAACACTGTACTCTTTGCCTTATTCAACTTTGCACCTGAATCCTCCCCATACTCCTGTGTGCCTTAACACATGCCCTACTGATACTGTATCTGTCAACAGCATTGTCAGGTCATCCATATATGCAGTGCATCTTACCTTTTCCTCACCCCAACCCGGAAATGAAATCCCGCTTGTTAGCCTATCTCCCCAAATCGTTTGCACCAGGGGTTCCATTGCACAAATGAAAATCCCCACTGACAAAGGACACCCTTGCCTTACCCCTGTGTGAATTTCAAAAGCTCGCTCCAAGTGCTCTTCCACTAACAACTGACTCTTTGCCCTCCCATACAGCAACTTCACCCACCCCACCAACTTCTCCAGAAAAACCATATTCCCCAGTACCCCAAACAAAAACTTATGTGCCACCCTGTCATATGCTTTTTTCCAAATCTAAATTCACCAGCAATGTATTTATCTTCCTGGATATATGTCATTTTATCTCTCAGTAACCATTAAGTCTGTGAAATTCTCCTCCCCCTCTACTGAACAAGTCTGGTCCTCATGGATCACCTGTGTCAAACTCTCTTTCATTCGTGCCACCACCACCTTTGCCACCAACTTATAATCAACGTTCAATAGTGTAATGGGCCTCCAATTACTTCACAGATCCTTTTCCCCCTTCTTATGAATCAAAACCACCACCTCACCCACAAAATCCTTTCCTACTACCCTGTACTCTGTGATTTCCTCAAACACCTCCACCAAATCCACCCCCACTCACGATCAAAACTTAACAAAGAACTCAGCTGGTAAGCCATCCTTCCCCAATGATTTACCCTTCCTTCATTGTTGTCAAAACCCTCTCGACCTCTTCTACTGGTATCCCCCCTTCTCAAGCAAATCTCAGAATGTCATCCTCCTGCTGTACTCGGCCTTGGTGAGGCCACAGCTGGAGTACTGCATCCAATTCTTAGCGCCACAATTTAAAAAAGATGTGGAAAAGTTTGAGAGAGTCCAGAGGAGAGCCACACGTATGATCGTAGGGCAGGAGAACAGGCCCTATGACGAGAGGGTCAGACCCATGAGACTCTTCAACATGGAAAAGTGCAGGCTCAAGGGGAACCTGGTAGCTGCCTATAAGTATATAAGAGGTGTGCATCAGGATCTGAGGGAATGCCTGCTCACCAGAGCACCCCAAGGGATGACAAGGTAAAATGGTCACAAACTCCTCCAAGATCATTTTAGGCTGGACATAAGGAAAACCTTCTTTACTGTCCAAGCCCTCAAGGCCTGGAATAGACTGCCTCCAGAGGTGGTGCAAGCACCTGCTCTGGACTCATTTAAGAAGCATTTGGACATCTATCTTGCTGGGATCCTTTGATCCTAGCTGACTTCCTGCCCATGGGGCGGGGGGCTGAACTTGATGATCTTCCAAGGTCCTTTCTAGCCCTAATGTCTATGAAATCTATGTACTATAAAAGCATACTACAGATGTGGCAGGTGAGACCGAACAGGTATCTCACAGAGCCAGGAAATAATAATATCTTGATGATATCACTCTATATTTATGCCAGTGCAAATAAGCAAATGACAAGCAATAATAATAAGCAACTGCCTACAAAGTTATGGGTTGAAGAGACCACTAGTTTTTTCTTCCTAAAGAATACAAATGACCACTTGTGAGCACATTGATAAAGTGCATTTGACCTTAAGTGTTATAAAAAGATTCCTAGTGAAATTTTCAGAATGCAGTACCAAACCTTCCTGAATCTGGGAAAAGGCAAATGTGATCCTGTGGGCTGAAAGATAGCCCATGTTGATGGGATGTATAGGAGCAATTTGGTTAGAATAATTCTCTCCTCCAAGAAAGAAGAGAAAAGTGATGCTCTGGGAAAATATAACCAGGCAACAAATTAAAAAACCCAATAGCTACCTGACGCTTTTCAGCAGACAGATTTCTTCTGAGAACTTGTGGGACTGAACAAAGTGCCCAGGAACAGTAGCTAGGTTGGAACATTCACTAGCTGAGGAACAGTCACACTTCAAGTGCCAGACATAGGAGAGAGAAACCATATTTTCAAGCACATTTCAGTAAACAAGGGTGAAAAATGTATTCCTTCTTAACTTAGGTCCTGAATGCGTTCTGATGGCTTGTGGTGCACAATAACCAGGGATGCTGGTTTTCTCTGATAAAAAAAATAAACAAATCACAAATTCTCTGATAACTCCCCCCAAATCTGTTATTAAAATTAAAAGCCCCCCCCCGCATTCCCGCCAGCCCTGCTGGTGCCCCTCATCCCCCCTAATGCCTTCCCCAGCCTTGCTAGTGCCCTTCACTGCCCCCAAAGCCCCGCCAACCCTGCTGGTGCCCCTCACTTGCCCCCAAAGCCCCCCTAATCCTGCTGGTGCCCCTCACTGCCTCAACAACAGCCCCCCTGCCCTACTTGTGCCTCTTGCCCCGCACCCACAGCCCCTGCCTCCCAGCCCTGCTGGACGGGGCTCCCATCTGCCAGGGCTATATGGCCAGGGACCCAGGTTTGCAGCTCCCTGCCCCCAACAAGAGTCAGCTGTAGCAGAAGCAGCCTGAAGCCGGCTCCCCACCAGCCCTGCTGGTGCCCCCCAGCCATGACCTGCAACCCTTCAGCCCTGCCAGAGGGGCCCCCAGCCCCCTGCAAGCCCCACTTACTGTACAGGCTCCAGGAGTGAAGAGTGAGGCTGAGCTAAGCAGAGCTGGAGCTGACTGAGTCTCAGCCCCCACCCTTCCTCCTCCCCCTCCCAGCAGGGCTGGGGGTTTCCTGACCCGTTTGCAAACAGCTCTTGCAGGCTGGATCTCAACCAGCCTGCAGAGCTCTTTGCAAAAGTGGAGAATCCGTGAGCTTTTCTGCTAAAAGGAGAAGTCTCTGTTTTCTCTGATAAAAAGGGGAAATCTATGAATTTCCTGGTTTTCCGTGGGAATCGGAAAACCCGAATCCCTGATGATAACCCAACTATCATGTTCATTCTTCTGTCCTACAGAGTAAACAAAGACTAACCATATCACATCATCATATAATAGGTGTTCATAAAACTGGGAAAGATTAGATTTCCACACCCAATCTATATTGAATGAACCTAAAATATGATCTATTACTGTGGCAGGGCTGAGGAGAGAGAGGGTCCCTTTGCCCATCACCGTCCATCCTGCCACCCACCTGCTCAGAGTCCTCCCAGTGACACTTGCTTGTTGTGCTTTTTTGGGTAGAAAGGACTCCTAAGGCCAGGGCTCACAGCTCGGTGTGTTCTTGGTGTTGGGTGGTACTCTTGGTTTCCTGGTCAGGCTGTCACCTCACCAGCTTCCCCCTTCTGTGTCTCAGTTTCACTGCCTCTGACTCTGGGTTACTCCCAGGTTACCACCTCTTCAGGTCTAGGGCCCAAGACTTGGGGCTTCACAGCCACTCAACGCTTTGGACCACCACAGTAGACTCTTGGGCTATCATGCCTGTGGCAGTAATCCTTCTTGTGGGAAGCAGGTTGGGCAGGGTGCTAGGACACCCTGTCCTGCGGCCTCCACATCTCCCATTACAGTCAGTCCTGGTTCACCAACTGTCCATTAGGGGAAAAAAAGGGAAAAAAAAAAAAGGAAAAAATCTCAGCTTAAAGTTCTTTCCCTATTTCAGGGTAATGGACACAGTCTCCACAGGGATTTGCCCCACAGGCCTGCTGTCCAAACAAAATAGAAACAAAAGGGGAAACTAGAATTTCTTCTGTTCAAGCTTACTCCCCTGCCAGGGCTACTTACAGGGTCCATCTGGTGGGGACCATCCTGTCCTCTTGATGGTCAGGGCTCCACTGCCCCCACCCATCCCTTCTGGGTTAACTTTTATTTGTCCAGGCCACTCCCCAACTTCTGGTCATGTGGCTTATTCAGCTGCATGTGGCTCATACTGTCCCAAAAGGTCTTGGTTTTTAAGTGGTCAGGACCTCTTTCTAGCCTTTTTTCTCCATTTTTCATAACAGAGACTCTGCTCCCTCTTACAGTTACCAAACTTTAGAAAAAAAGAAAACAACTACTAAATCCAATAACACACAAAATTTTATTAGACAGACAAGATTAGTAATGAGATAAATGGAAAATTAAACATTAAAACCTGGAACCTAATAGAATGGCCCCATTACAGGTTCATAATATTATACTGTCTTTCGACCTTTCTAGCTAATGTTGTCGGGAGCCTAATGACATGCACATATAAAAAGCCACTATTCACAGAAGAGGCTAGGAATTCCGGCAAGTACAGAGCTTGTTAACACATTATTATTAGCATGATGATACCTGTGTTAATCAGCAGACAAAAGAACTATGTGTAGCCCAAACATGTAGAATTATGAATACCACTAACATACGAGTTACAAATATATGCTGAGCTATAAGAAGGAGCCTTGATTCTCAGCAGCAAGCAGACACCTCAAAAATCAGATAAACAACAATTCAGTAAGTAGACCTGCCCTGCAATCCTTCTGGGTACTCTTCTGGATAAGAGGGAATGTACAAATTAGGATAAACTGTATAATACAGAGCAATGTTCTTCAGCTCCCTCCTTAGCAGGAATTGCACATTTCAGCCTGCAATAGTTAAAACTGTCCCTGATATCTTTAACAATTCATAAAACAATTTCTTTATGGCCTTCCACAGATGATCTGGGCTGGGTGGTAGCCATGAAGTTGTCAAAATGATGCTAGGGGTCCTCTTTCACTCATCATTGTAGCTGAGTTTTCTGAATATCCTGGAAAAGAATATTGTTGAATTATAGTTACTAGTAACTGAACCTCTGAAGAACAGAATGTCAAAGCAAAGGATCTAGTCACCTAACTGCATGAATTGTTAACTGCAGTGGGCCTACCATACACCTTCTCACACCCATCTGAACATAGGGATTCTTTTCTTCTTTCTGTTTTTTAATGTCCCAATAATTTCAGCAAATAGAGGAAAATCTCTATTAATTCAAATTAGGCTAATAACTCTGAAATCTAATCTAGCAGTCATATCTGAACATAAATAAAAGTGAAAGTTCCAGAAGAGGGAGAGTACTTCCTTTGCTCTCCCTTTCATTTCTCCCCATAGGAACTGAAGGATTGGCATCTTATTCTTCAGATTTACTGTGATTTCATCCAGGTTGAGATCACTGTGTTAGGTGATCTGTGTCACCACAGTCCAAGCCAGCATTCAAACAGATCCACAGTCAACCTGTTACTTTCTGTCCTTTTTCTTTCCTGATATTTATCTTTTGTAAACACCTTTTGCCAAGGATTATCAAATCTTTCCAGACACAATGAGGATCTATCTGTTTCTTTCCCAACTGTTAATTGGAAGACATGGCTGCTTTGCCATCTGCTTGGCTGTAAGATTTCGGAATGCTTCAAGAACATTAAGGAAAAGCCTCATTCTCAGGGTGTTTATTACAGGCATCTCAGATGTCTAAAAAATATCAAGTCTTTGGCTGGAGAAAATTGCCAGCTGAGAGCCCATTCAGGTTATACAAATGCATGTTCACTGACTTGCAATTAAGGAACAAAGATCCATGTTTATTCCAGATAGCTTGACAAGAAAACATTCATTACGGCTTCTCATACAGCCTGTTACTTGCACACATGCAGAAATCAGTTTTTGGCTTTGCCAATCTTACAAAAAGTTTCTGTCCAGAGGGACAGAAAGGAAAGAAACAGAGGGAAAGAAAACAAGTATAAATTAAGAAGCTGAGTAACGATTTACCAAAAGGAGATTTAAGTGGGAAGAGACAAGTAAAGCTCACAAAAAAATCATCCCATCTGTTAAGCTTACTCGAGATCATACACTGCATTGACTTTTCCATATTTGTAGAGTCTTCACATTCATCTCTGCTTAAACTTATTTAGGAACAGTTTACTGTTCTCTCCTTTTTATTCAAAGCATGGGATCTCTTTTCCTTAAGATTGGTGCTGAAATACTTCCACAATCTGTTTAGCACTCTTTGAAGAACTCATTTACTTATCATCCAAATTACATTATTTATTCTAAATTTCTAAATGTTCAACTAATTTTCACCCTCAGAAGCCTCTTTCACATTAGATCAGCTGTACTGAATGCATAATGGCATTGCAAAAGTGTTTAACGGTATGAGTCTGGGGAGGGTATACTATTTGAGAGCGTCAAGTAACAGATTTATCCTTCAGATGCTTCTAATAGAATGCCAAATAGGAAGTCATATTTTAAAGTCTTAAGAGATTTTCTGTGTTACCAAGTGTTAGAGAATGTTTTAAAAATATATTTTTGGAAATAAAGGAGATTTAAAAACTATCTTGTGCATTATATTTTACATTCCAGTGTTTATAAACCTGGTATCCTCTGGTTATGAAATCCAAATGAGCATGACTTCAAGAGCAGAAGCTTCAGAAGCTTCCAGAAGTTATCCTAATATCTCCCCTTAATTCAATTAAACAAATTAAAGCCCTAGTAAGCAGATATTAGAATCTGAACCTGTCACAAGGCTAAAATTACCAACCGTGGAGTAGACTAAATTTGATGGGAAAGGAAACAAATAAATATGTCTAAAGTCAATCCACGCCTTACTTGTCAAGAGGTCTTGTTTATACACAGACTAATGGGCACGAGAATGACAACATGGTCCGTGACATACTATGAATGCAATTTAACATGTCCATTAACACAACATATTCAGTATAGGGGGTACCATCAACATCTTGTTTCATTCTCACCACATATTCATGTATGGAGCACATGTGAAATATGTAACACATGACAGAGGAATGCAAATCAGAGCCTTTAAAACCTCTGCATCAAAACTTATCATGATGCAAGTTATTACAATATGTAAGTCTCAAAATGCACCCTAAAAGTATAGGTTTGATCAAGGACTGATATGACTCTATTAATGGTATAAAAACTGCATCAGTTATTTTTATTGTCATAAGAACAAATATAAATACGCACACTCTCTTTCCTCAAACATCACATCTTTAAAAGGAAGGGTATTACACTGCAAATGTGTTCTTTTTTCGAGAGAGAAAAGAAACAACGTAACTTCCAATTGCAAAGTAACTTACTTTTTAGCTGCTCAAAAAAGTCACTTGCCTTTGTTGACGTTTTTCTGCATTTCTAGTTGATCCATGATTCTGCAGCATCCTAGGAATAGTTGCATAGATATCTGCTATCCTGGATTCTGGTGATATAACGAACAATGTGAAAAATTTTAAGCACCACATGGAGTACACTGTGTATTGTAGAAGATTTTTAAAACACTGGACTGCTATGGGCTTGGATAAGTAGCTCAGACCATCATCACCTTAGTCAAAAAGGTTGTGTCCAAATTCAATTTCAAATACAGTTTGCATTTAACATTCAAAACAGTGAACATGTTTAAGTGTAAAGCTAATTTTCTTTAAAGTCTTTATAATGTATCATCATTACAGAGTTAGGGCAATTAGAGTGCGTCACATACATCAGTAAAGAAAAATATTATAAACGACATTGGAGGCTAACAATTTCTGGGACAAACTATAAAATAAAATTTGACTTGGAAAACAGAAAATTAAGGGACTCTTAAACGTGGCAAAAAAAAGTCAAGCATCTTTCTGAAGAGTGTGCAGGTAGTATGCTGACTAGGAACAGATTACTAAAACAAAGCAGTGAACAAATATATTTTTTCTTCTATTTTCCCTTGCAATTTAAGTTGCTTTTATCAGTTCTTCATTTGGAGTTCTTCCTTTGCTGACAAGATGAATAAAAATGAACTGAGAAACAGGAAAATACCAATGCCTTGTTCAAAATATATATATATATTATAGTAGGAAATTCTCAAGTCACATTAAACACACTTTAACCAAAATTTGTTTTTCTTTTCTTTTTAAAAAATAGTTCAATATTAATGTGTTCTTTCACATAGCTAGAAGGGAAGTACTGTATTTACCTGCACCTCTAGTACCTATCTCCCCTGTCACCTCTCCCCCACACTGCCCCCAGTGCTTACCCCCTGCTGCCTCTTCCTCCCCATAGGCCACTTCCCCTCCCTGACACCACTTATCCTCTGGCAGCTGTCTCTACACACACATGCACGCGTGTGCACACGCCATGTGATCTTCCCCAAATTCACCCTCTCCCCTGCCCCACAAGCTATCCTTGCCAGATAGCAGTGGCAGTAGCTACAGCCATGGTCCTGGCACTTGAGTCCAAGATGAGAGTTCCCTTCCTCATGTTAAATGAGGGAAAAAAAACACTTAATCTTGGATTTGATTAAATACGGTAGTTCAGAACAGAAATATTCCATAGCAAAAAAATTTGAAAACTGGGGCACTGAAACCAAAAGGTACTGAAATAAATTGGATGCAAGCTTTAAATGTCACATGATATTACATCCAGTTAATGGTTACTTTTGACTGAAGGTACAGTATATTTCAGAAGTTAGGCAATACCAACAAAGAAAAATCAGGGATTGATTTAAAAACAACTTAAATATAGATATTCACAGTTTGGCTGTTACTTAGATATGGGCAGAAACATAAATCTAAAAAAAAAATCTGAAGAATCTGAAAAAAATCTGAAAAAAATCTGAGTCACTAGAAATTGAGGGAATTTGTTTTGGATGGAACAAAAAGATAGCTAATAAATGAAAACCCTGGCTAATTATCAACGAGGAAAACAGAGGGGAAAAAAAGAAACAACGTTTTTGAGCACAAAATGTATTTAGGTGAAAAATCCTAAATAGTCCCCAAAAAGGGTGGAAGTTGCATCTTTTGAAACATAAAAATTTAACTAATCTAAACAAGCGGGACGCACAAAGACAAAAACTTACCTGGCAAGGAGATGGCCTAACCAGTGTAATACACAAATTAAAATTTTTACTTGCTAGTAGTCTATTTGCTGTTACCCAGCACTTACTGCAAGGAGATCAATTAAATGACTTCAGAGATAAGCAGTCACCTTTTCTGCACCCAATTAACCCTTAATTTATGGGAGGTTAATAACTGGCCAATTTAAAAAAAAGTGCTCCCATTTTAAATACAAGATAAAACTCTCTCTCTTCCAATGATACCGCCAAAAATTCATAATCGAAAGAAGATTAAAAGAACAACTGCAAGAAAATAAGATCCCTATTTTGTTAAAGCCAGAGAGTGAACTAGATTCAGGCTACCATTTAACATGCACAATTAACAAGCTAAAGCACAGTGAAGCTAGGTCATAATTTTTTTGATGGAAGGTACTTCTCCCAACAAAGAATTTCCTGAAATGTATGCTTTTCATAAAACTTTCAAATTTGAAGAAAATTTTACTGGGGAGGTGTCTGTCAGGTTCACAATAGTATTTTTGGTCAAAATCTGAGAATGAGAAACCAACTTCAGAACAGCCAAGTGTTCTGGGACCCTGCCTAGAACATGGGATAATAAAAATGCAGAGCATGAAGCTGTACCTCCTATATGCCAGTTGAATACTGTAACCATGAGGCTGCTGAGGTTTTTATACCTTTAAAAAAAACAACAAAAAAAACAAACAAACCCAACTCACAAAGTAGTCATGCTTTGCAGAATGTGACTAAATGCTCAGTCCTCAACACCCTTCACAAAACAGAATACTTGTTTTCTGGCCTACACAAGAGGGTGGACCAGGCATGTCAAATATATTGCTTGCGGGGCTACTAGTAGCCCAAGGAATTCAGGAGGGGAGCTGTGGCGGTGAGGCTGGCACGGCTAGCAGGGGGCATGGTCTACTGTGGAATCTGAGGCCCTGGAGCCCCACTGGGCATGGCCCTTGGCAGGTGGGCTTTGCTGCCACAGCCTTGCTTGCCACACAGCTGCTTGGTACACTGTCACCTCTGCAACTGCTGCTTGCCCTGTAAACTGGCCAGTGAGGAGCCCTAAGGTCTAGATGCACTCCAAGGAACAGGGTAAGTTTGACTGCCCTGGGCTAAACCAAAGAGCTGCTGGCCCCAGGGGAAAAGATCACAGCCTTTTACCGCTATGTCAGGCAGAGATCCCTCCTCATCACTGCCATATCTGTATGCTAGGTATGACATCTCCAGTGTCAGCTGGGCCAGGACCAGTTGAATTACTTTGCTGGCTTGTCTTTCTTTAAATAAACCTTGGCTTACTATAGTCTAAGTAGATTTAGAAAGGGTGACATTTCACACCCTCAGTTAAGAGGTAGAGTTTAGAATGCAACCAACTCTATGCTTTTAAGCATGCACAAATGACGGTTCCTTTCCAACATAGTATGTTTCTTCCAGAACTGCAGGCCATGTACTAGGTGGATATAAAGGACCAAAAGGTGAGAGAAGGGCCCTAAAGAACGACTCTCAGATCTATTTAGGTGCCTATTGCCTCTCTCATTTAGGTACATTTGTATATCTGGGTCTCAGACTAGTTTATCCACCTGGTAATCCTTACTACCAACTGGCTGTCAACGAAATTTTGGAAAGAGCATCATGGTACTGGCTATTGTATCTGAAGTCCTTCCTTCAAAACAAAGGCAAGTTTTACTGTACATAACATCTAGGATCAAAAAAATTCTTCATTTGACCCATTAGTTTCAAAAGCAAATAAAGCAAAAGGAGATTTCTACCCTTCCAACTGCAAATTAAAATGGGTGTAGCTTTCACAAACATGTATTTTGTAGTTATAAACCTCAAACTTATTAACCTTTCAGCTGATATACCCGTATATCATTTATGATTATTCACAGAGGAGCACTTTATTGCAATGTACATCTCAAAAAACATTTAATAGTATTTATAGTGAAGGTAAAGGAACATTCATGTATCGTAAAAACATGCAAAGCAACAGCTTGCTTGTTGTAAAAAGTAACCAATTTATAGTTTCTTCCCTTTTATAATACCCCAAAAATAACAATCTGCAAAACTCTGCGCGATTACATGCTGTTCTAACAATCCGAGGAAGAAAATTCTTTCCCTTGTAAAATAACCTTTTCAGAATTGTGGAGGGTGGGAAGAATGAGAAACATCGCTAGGCTATTTGCATTAATAGGAACACTGTCACGTTTCGGACAAGGCCCCTTATGTAGTATGTCATCAAGCTGAAAAAAAGTTTGGAAAAGTGTATGGGCTTCCTGGTACCCTACTGAAGTCCACATGGATTTTTTTCAGGAAGAGAGGGAGCCATGAATGTCACTAGATGTGCTGGGGCTCATCCTGCTACCCATTCATCTCCTGCTTGTGCATAACACATCCATAGATGCTTCTCAGGCAAATCCCAGGACGTCATTCTCCCCTTGTACTTGGCCTTGGTGAGGCCGCAGCTGGAGTACTGGGTCCAGTTTTGGGCTTCACAATTCAAGAAGGATGTGGAGAAGCTTGAGAGAGTCCAGAAAAGAGCCATACGTGTGATCAGAGGTCAGGAAAACAGACCTTACAACAACTGGCTGAGAGCCATGGGGCTCTTTAGCCTGGAAAAGTGCAGGCTCAGGGGCAATCTGGTGGCCACCTATAAGTTCATCGGGGTGACCACCAGTATCTGGAGGAACATTTGTTCACCAGAGCGCTCCAAGGAATGACAAGGGCGAATGGTTATAAACTATTGCAAGACCGTTTCAGGCCATTTCTTTACTGTCTGAGCCCCCATGGTCTGGAACAGCCTGCCATCGGAAGTGGTTCAAGCACCTACATTGAACACCTTCAAGAGCAAATTGGATGCTTATCTTGCTGGGCTCCTATGCCCCCAGCTGACTTCCTGCCCTTTGGGTGGGGGGCTGGACTCGATGATCTTCCGAGGTCCCTTCCAGCCCTAATGTCTATGAAATCTTTGAAACACTGAATCAAGGCCTTTCAATCAGAACAGCAGATGTGCAAAACTCTACTCCCAGATCCTATCCCCTCCCTCTTGCCTTAGCCACTGGGGATGGAATAAAAACACACGTACACATACCCTCACACCCATATTTACATGAATCTAAGACAATGCTGAATTTAAAGCAACTCTCCCAATAATCAGATTTCATACATGGCAAATTATAAATTTGCTATAATTTTCTGTGTGTGTGTGTGTGTGTGTGTGTGTGTGTGT